ACTAGCAAAGTCGTTTGAAAAAGTAGCAGAGCCAACCGAAGGGGCAAAAACAACCCCACCCAAAGCAAAAGAGACCGCATGTTCCACCAACAGAAAAAATCAGTGGAGACCTGGATCAGATACTGATCGACAGGTGCAACGTCCTGGCCTGATGTTGCTGTAAACTGGAGTTAGAAGGCTAGGATATACCACATAAGAAACAAAGGCCGATATTCAACACCCCTCAATGGAGGTCAGATCGTTATGTCGTTTTTGGAGTGGAAAGGGTTTGATGTGACCCGTTTTTATGCCCCAGCAGCTATTGGCAACTGGAATGATTCCCAGGACAACTGTAAAGGTATACTTAAATATATCTAATAAATGCAGCCAAAAAGAGAACGGCGAAATTAGGCATATACCTTTGTACGTCTATTCAGTTTCTATTCAAGACGTAATAACTGTACATGTAATACGTTTGGAAATTTTACAACATCAATGCCATTATCCTAAAAAGTTAGGATGTATAAAGGGGTTTGTTTCTAAAGAAACTGATACTGCGTTTGTGGAATAACGTGACAAGGTAACTTTGGCTTTGTCAACTGAGGTTCAGGCCAGTAAAATCACTTTCAAGGACATTAGAAGAGTGACACTGACCAGAAACAAGAACCTACTGAAAATCAAGGATGATAGCTACTAAAGGCATTTGACTAAGGAGAGCTAACGAAAGAGCTTCAAAAATTTCACGAAGCGATTAGCGATGACACCGAAACAATGAGTACTTAGTTAAAAAGTTTATGCGTCAGATGCAATGGCTTTTCTGCCATAACCACTCCACAACCGCATGGGCACATGCATTTTTTCTTTGGAGAACTTTATGACCTTGCAATACATGGGAAAAGAGAAGGAATACTAAAGAGGACAGGGAAAGATGTAGATGTGCAAGCTACAGTTGTATATGTTGGGTCAAAGCCAATTGACACTGGAAGATCAAATGAAATTTATCCCAACAAGCCAAGAGGACCTTAGAGATTTTATCAATCCCACCATCACAGAGTGTGCATTGAAGTATGGGATGTCATGAGGTTTATATATGTTAATAACCCTGCGGCTGAGATAGAAGGTGACACCCAGCATTTTGAGATGTTTTCAAAGCCGTTGTCACCTTTTGAAGAGCTAAAAACAAACAAAAGCGTTTTGCAAAATGAGCCGGAGGTTTTTCTCGACTTTGAAATGGCTTTCTAGAGCGCGCACTCTGGATTAAAACAAATAATATTATTGCTGTTTTCTTTTTTTTTTTTTTCTTATTTTTATTTACTTATGCGATTCAGGGAAAATCGATTATCTGACTGGGGAATTCAGCGTTAAATTGCAATTGAAAACCAATATCGCACTCATCGCTTCGTGATTCGAGCGATATCGGTTCTCGCGTGTAATTTTCCTATATTACAACACTCTAAGAGTCTTACCTGCTGTTTTAAAGGAATGACTTCGAAGACTACGTCGCATGGTTTCAATTCAGGTAGAATTTTGAACACAACAACACCTTGTCGCCCAGTGGTATAGTAAGTTAAAACGTTGTCGGACGAAAAAATCACGAATAGATATAAATTGTAGCTCCAGATTTCATGAAGCCATGAATCTAAAGGTGCTTTTAATACACATGATGATGCATATGCAAATGACGCTGCTGGGAGTCAGCGAAGTGATTCAACATGAAGAGCTTTTCAGATTTTTCACCCTTTCCACTATAGTTTTGGCTTTTTGAAAGAACAGTAGCTCAAACTTGAGGAAAATAGGAAATAAGATTCAGATAAAAAACAAATATAGAAAAGGTTTACTGTACTTCCCTTTTCAATTTAAAACGCACCTCACTTGATAACTCCTACACCTATCAGCTACTTTCCATCAAGTTTACAGCAACTATTTCTCCATGATAAACGATCAGCTACTGAAGTGAACAGTTGCCAATAAAACCAACATCTCTATGCCCAGTACGCTGCATAACAAACTTATCTGGGATTCCTTTTTTCAGTGCTCTAGTTACTGTTGTTGCACGGAGGCTGTGGTTGGTGAATTGGCCTTCGATTTCTGCGTCTTTGCAAAGCCTTTTCACAGTTTCTCCAAGTATGTTGTGACCCACTGCAGTATTCCCATACCAAACTGCAAAATAAAAAAAAAATTATTTTAAGCCACTTCATT